ATGGTTTATTCCCCAAATAGCTGCAATGGCCAGTGCTGGGCTGATGGGAAACTATGAGTGAGGACTTTGGTCTGAGTCTCTCAAATGACGCAGGGGCCCAAGCACTTTTTTTAATTGACAAGGGAAAAATCAAGTTCTTTGTTGGCAGATGACTGTATTGTCTACATTAAAATGAAGAATGGAGAAAAGAGTTGCTGGAACTAATAGGTGAGTTGATTACATTTCTTTGCCAGACATAGGACAGTACAAAAATGCATTTCCATATACTATGATAACAGTTGAAAAATAACTTTTTGGAAATTATTGTAATATTTATTGCAAAGGTTAGGGGGTTGCATACCCATATAGGCCTCCAGTTAGGATGGATAACATTGGGTCTGGGGGAAGGTGGGTGAGATACATGTTTCAGTTTTCCCACTGTGTCTGTGCAGAGTGGGGAGGCAGGGTAAAAGTGTGCCACTCACTGCATCAGTATCCATGGATGCAGACGTTTGTTTGACATCACCTGTGTGGTCCCAGTTGTGAGGAAGAATGTTTCAAGAGTGCTAATTGAGTGGTCTTTTTTCTGATAATTGTCGACTAAATTACACCAGAGATGAGGAATTCTTTCTAAGGCCTGTTTGTGCTCCATGTCTACCTAGTGCCCACAGACTTATGTGGTTGTTGTAGAGCCTGGCCTGTCCTTCTTGCCATCTTTTGATGAGGTACTTTAAATCTATTGGGTTGAATGAACTGGCTGTCTTATATTCATCTGATATGTTCTCCATTCTTGCACAGAGGGTCAACAACTGAGGTGGCCCAGTCCTACAGCATGTGCTCTGGGATTGGACCATATGTCTTAATTTTATCTGAGGCTAAGAATCTAGCACAGTGGTCTAGTTGGGGAGCAATTTAAGATACTCACTTGTGTCTATGGCCATATCATCCTGAATGCGTGATCTCGTCTGATCTTGGAAGATACCTCACTTCAGAAGTTCTCAAACCTTGCTGTCTATAAAGCTGTATAATATAGTTTTGGGTTCAGTCTACACCCTGCACCAGTCCACATACATATCAGTAGTTGCAACTGCCTGGACAATCCTGATTTCAGACCTGACTTTCGTGCAAACGAGCAGGTATTACAGTCTACCCAGTTTAGCCCATCTTGCTCCCAGGTTCAACTCTTGTAGATACCAGCACTGCAGACAATGGCTTGAATCAACTGCACCATAATGTTGACTCTTATTTTTTTAAGTGTTCATTTGTGATATTAATTTCTTTATTATTGAAGTTACATTGTCATATGTAGTATAAAATATCCCTTTAGTTGATCATTTGCATTTTTCTAGGTGGGCTCATCTGTTTTTTATTTCTTGGAATGAGATCTAGGTATTATATTTTTATATTTAGGGAAACTTTCCAGGACAATTTTTTGGTTTTTGGGTTTTTTTTTAAGATTTCTTTCTAATGATTCAATCCCCAAGTGACCACAACAGGTAGAGCTGAGCTGATCCAAAGCTAGGAGCTAGGAGCTTCTTCTGGGTCTCCCATGCAGGTGCAGGGTCCCAAGGCTTCGGTCCATCCTTGACTGCTCTCCCAGACCACAGGCAGGGAGCTGGATGGGAAGCATGCCGCAGTTAGAACCGGCGCACACGTGGGATTATGGGATTCCAGCACATTCAAGACGAGGACTTCAGCCAGTAGGTCACTGCCCTGGGCCCTCCAGGACGATTTTTTAAATCTTTTCTTTTTCTTTTGCTCACATTTGTCTTTTCAAAATATCAGAATTTCTTTTGTTTTTACAGTTTTCTAATTTTAATTTTGATTCACTTTGAATTTAGTGTAAGGAATGATGTAAGCTATGTGGCTTTATTTTGTAAATAAGTAACCAGTTGTCCTACAGCACTTACTAAAATACCTTTTACTGATGTGAAATGTTATTTTCCCATGTTTTAAATTCTCTTACATGTTTCTCTTTTTTTGGAATTTATTTTTGATCACTTAATTGATTTTTTATCTTCTTTAATATCAACTCTTGGGAATTTTTGCATTATAATATGGAGGGGTCTGTAGCGTCACTGTGTTACCAAGAAACATGTTAGTATATAAAGATTCATTTATTTTAATTAGAAAAGTAGATTTACGAAGAGGAGAGACAGAAAAATCTTCCATTTCTGATTCACTCCCCAAATGACTGCAATGGAGCTAAACCAATCTGTAGCCAGGAGCCAGAAGTTATTTTTGGTCTTCCACACAGATACAGGGTCCCAAAGCTTTGGGCCATCTTCCTCCTTTGTCCCAGGCTACAACCATGGAGTCAGATTGGAAGTGGAGCAGCAAGGACACAAACCAACGCCCACATTGGATGCCATGCTTGGAGGTGGAAGGTTAGCTGGTCGAGCCATTGCTCTGGCCATGATATGTTAGCATTTATAATATACATTGTCAAATTACTTGGCCTGGCCCCTGCTGTTGTTTGTGTTTAGGGAATGGAGCAGAACATGGGAGTGTGATATTTGTGTGTATCTGTCATTCTGTCTTTCAAATAAATCAGTTTAAAAAATACCTCCAGGGGCCCAGTGCGGTGGCGCAAGTGGTTAAGGTCCTCCCCTTGCATGCCCAGGATCCCATATGGGCGTCGGTTCTATCCCGGCGGCCCCGCTTCCCTTCCAGCTCCCTGCCTGTGGCCCGGGAAAGCAGTTGAGGACGGCCCAAAGCTTTGGGACCCTGCACCCGTGTGGGAGACTTGGAAGAGGCTCCTGGCTTCGGATCGGCATAGCATCGGCCATTGCGCTCACTTGGGGAGTGAATCATCGGATGGAAGATCTTCCTCTCTGTCTCTCCTGTCTGTATATCCATCCGCCTTTCCAATAAATAAAAATAATAAAAATAAATCTTTAAAAAAAATAAAAAATACCTCCAGTAGCAATGGTTCCCTGTCTCTAGATCTGTAGGAAGTCAAGAGGCCTTAGAAATTGAAAAAGGCTTTTTCTTCTTGCAGAATTCAGGATCTGTTTCTTTTCCTGGTACTTAGCTAAAAAGAAAATTTTAAAGATTTGTTTAATAACTTTGGCAAAATATTCACAACATTTCTCACTTTGGCCATTTCTGTTTTTACGGTTCAGCAATATTATGTCCACATAATATTGTACACCCATAGTATTGTACACCCATCCCTTACTTTGCAGAAGTCTTCCATCATTCCAAACTGAAATTTTCAGCCATCTACCCAGGCCAGGAACCAGAAACTATGAACTGTGCAAGTTCCCCACATGGGTGGCAAGAACCTAAGCCTTTGTTCTTAATCGTCTGCTTCTCGACTGTGTTGGTAGAGAGCTGAGTCAGAAACAGAGAACCTGAGACTCAGTGTTGCCCCATTAGCCTCCCCCTTCCCAACCCATCTTCACCTCTCTACTTTTTATGTCTAGGAATTTGATCATTCTAGGTGCCTCATAAATGAAATCATGCAGTATTTGTCATTTTTTTTAAATATATTTTTGTTGGAAAGGCAGATACACACAGAGGAGGAGAGACAGAGAGGAAGATCTTCCATCTGGTGGTTCACTCCTCAAGTGGCCTAAATGGCCAGAGCTGAGCTGATCAGGAGCCAGGAGCCAGAAGCTTCTTCCAGGTCTCCCACACGGGTGCAGGGTCTGTCCTCAACTACTTTCCCAGACCACAAGCAGGGAGCTGCATGGGAAGTGGAGCTGCCAGGATTAGAACTGGCGCCCATATGGGATCAACCTGGCACATGCAAGGTGAGTACTTTAGTCACTAGGGTACTGCACCAAGCCCAGTGTTTGTCATTCTTTAATAAAAAAAATAAATTCATTTCTTTTTTATTGGAAAGGCAGATTTACAGAGAGGAGATACAGAGTGAAAGATCTTCGTCTGTTGGTTCACTCCACAAATGCCTACAATGGCCAGAGCTGAGTCAATCAGAAATCAGGAGATTCTTCCAGGTCTCCAACATGGGTGCAGGGTCCTAAGGCCTTGGGCCATCCTCTACTGCTTTCCCAGGCCACTTGCAAGGAGCTGGATGGGAAGTGGAGCAGCCAGGATACAAACTGGCATCGGTATGGGTTGCCGCCCTTGGAGGTGGAAGACTAGTCGAGACAGTGCGCCTACCTCTTCAGTGTTAATCATTTTGTGCAGCTGATTTCCTTTAGCTCTCAAGGTTTATTTGTGTTGTATTACTTATCAAAATTGAATTCCTGGGGCCTTTGTTGTAGTGTGTCAGATTGCTGCCACTGGTAATGCCAGCATCACCCAGCAGAGTGCTGTTTTGAGTCGTAGTTGTAACTGCTTCTGCTCCTGCTCCCTGCTAAAGCACCCACGAAGGCAGCAGCAGATGACCTCATTCTTGAGCCCCTAACGCTCACGTGAGACCAGGGAGGAGATTCTGGTACCTGGTTTTGGCTGGGCCCAAATCTGGCTGTTGCATTCATGTAGAGTGAAGAAAATGAGTGGATGATTTCTCTGTCTCCTCTCCCTGGTTCGTTCTCTCTCTCTCTCTCTCTCTCTCTCTCTCTCTCTTTCTCTCTCTCTCTCTCTCTCATTCATTTTACTTTTCAAAAATTTTTAAAAATCAATTTTGTTCCTTTTTAAGGCCAGATATTGTTTCTATGCTCCATAGTTTATATGTTCATCCATCAGTCTTGGACACTTGAATTGTTTTCACATTTGATTAGTACAGATAAAAATACCGAGAACATTGGGGTATTCATCTTAGTATCATCTGAAATTTCAATGAAACCCTACCTCCTCTTTCTCTTCCCTCCTTTTCCCTCTTCTCTTCCCTCCTCTTTGCTTCTGCCCATCTCTGGGACAAAATCCTACTCTGTCAGTTACTCTGTCTCAAGGCGCAAACCCCCTGTACCTTTACCCTTTCTTAGTTGGCTGGACTTTGTCCAGCCAGGTTTATTTATAAACCTTGCAGTGCTCATTAACAAGACAAAGCGCTCAGCAAGCCACTTCTCTTTCCTCTTGGCACAAAGGCAGAAGGCTCTAGCAGGTGAGATATGGCTGAAGAAGCAAACAAGAGAGACTCCATCAGGATGAATGTGAAAGGATGCCAGACAAACAATGGCTTCGTCCAAAATGAGGACATTCCAGAACAGGACCTGGATCCAGGCAGCACGGTGAACATCCTTGGCTCTGAGGAACTGGACACCAAGAAGATCCAGCCCTATGCAGGGATGCCCAAGGAGGTGCTATTTCAGTTCTCAGGCCAGGCCCGCTACCGGGTGCCCCGGGAGATCCTCTTCTGGCTCGTCGTGGCTTCTGTATTTGTGCTTGTTGGGGCCACCATCGCCATCATTGCCATCTCCCCGAAGTGTCTCGATTGGTGGCAGGCGGGGCCCATATATCAGATCTACCCGAGATCGTTCAAGGACAGTGACCAAGACGGGAACGGAGACCTGAAAGGTGCGTGCGGGAGGGAGTTCTGGAGAAGCATGGATGAGGGTGATTTATGGTTCTCTCATGCCTTGAAACCAGATTATGCCTGTGTTGTGTGGTAAGCACATTCCAGACTGAGCGACAAGCCAAGTTTCTCCATGTTTATGATGTTAAAATAAACATCAGCTCAGCAGCATCCAGCAGTTCTCTTACTTGATGAAAGGATATTTGCTGAGGGACTCTGAGCTGGAAGAGTTGTTTAATTTATTGCCCACCAAACACATCTGCTTGTTTGCTCAGAAGTTCCAAATGCTTAACCTGGAGTGGCTTTCCTCCTAACATCACATTCCTGCCTCTCTGTGCTTTGTGGTTGTATATCTCCAGGGGGCTGCTGAGGATTCCTTTCGCAGAATTGGAGGTGGCTTATTTGACAGTTTGACTAAGAGTTTCTTAATGAAAAAGGTAGAAAATAATATGATAGTAAACATTAAGTAATACCTTTAAATGGTATTGACTGAGTCTTAAAGTTTATTATTTTATTTTTTTTAAAGATTTATTTATTTTTATTGTAAAGGCAGATATACAGAGAGGAGGAGAGACAGAGAGGAAGTTCTTCTGACCAGTGGTTCACTCCCCAAGCAGCCATTATGGCTGGAGCTGAATTGATCCAAAGCCAGGACCCAGGATCTCTTCTGGGTCTCCTGTACTGGTGCAGGGTCCCAAAGCTCTGGGCCGTCCTCGACTGCTTTCCCAGGCCACAAGCTACTGGATGAGAAGTAGAGTTACCAGGATTAAAAGTGACGCCCATATGGGATCCTGGCGCTTTAAAGGACCTTAACCCCTATGCCATTGAGCCAGGCCTGAGTCTTAAAGTTTAAAACCTGAGAAATGAAGGGAAGAAACCATAAAGTAGATCAGTGTGTTGGTCTCCACATGAAAGAAGACTTTAAACAAGGGGGCCATTGCCCCTGCCTGCAGCACTGCCAGCCCTTATGCATGGCTCAGTTCTGGGTCCTGGCTGCCCAACTTCCCATCCAGCTCCTTGCTGATGCATCTGGGAAAGCAGCAGAGGATGACCCGATGGCTTGAGTTCCTGTCCCCCACATGGAAGATCTGGAAAAAGATCCTAGATTTTTGGCCTGGCCAAGCCCTGGGTATTATGGAAATTTGGAAAATGAATCAATGAATGGAAGATCTGTCTCCCTGTTCCCCACCTCTCTATGGCTCTGCCTTCACATAAACCAAATAAACAAATAAACAAAAGTTTTTAAAGGAGTGTTTAAAATAATGCCTATGTAGAAAAATAGAAGTGAAAAAACATGTTTTAAAAGTTAAGCTAGGGCCTGGCACCGTGGCCTAGCATCTAAAGTCCTTGCCTTGAACATGCTGGGATCCCATATGGGTGCAAGTTCTGATCCGGTGCCCCCACTTTCCATCCAGCTCCCTGCTTGTGGCCTGGGAAAGCAGTTGCGGATGGCCCAAAGCTTTGGGACCCTGCACCTGTATGGGAGACCTGGAGGAGATTCCTGGCTCCTGGCTTCGGATTGGAGTAGCACCAGCCATTGTGTTCACTTGGGGAGTGAATCATCAGATGGAAGATCTTCCTCTCTGTCTCTCCTCCTCTCTGTATATCTGAGTGTAATAAAAATAAATCTTGAGGTGTTATATGTAGACCACCGTTGTAATTTGTTACTGCAATAGAAACACTTTAAATGTTTGTTTTTTCAATATGAGAGCCAGAGAAACAGAGAAGGCAGAGAAAGGAGTCTTATGTGCTGACTCAGTCCCAGGATGTTCACCAAGACCAAGGCTGGGTAGGGCTCAATCTTGGAGCCAAGACACTGTGCAGACCTCGCTCGTGGGTGGCTGGAACCCAGGTCTTTGAGTTGTCACGGCTGCCTACCAGGTTCTGTGTTGGGAGGAAGCTGGTGTCAGAAGCCTTAGTTCAACCCCCTCCCCCGCCACCCCGGGAGCTGGCTGTAGGTGTCTCAACTTCAGCCTGCTGGCCTGTCCCCAGGCACCTCTCAAAGAGTCAAAGTAAGCCAGACTGTAGAGTAGAGATCACTGGATCTGTGCTGGGCAGGATGGTTGGTGTGGTCATCCTAATAGGCAAAAAACAAATATGAACTTTTTAAGTTTTTTTACAGTGATAACTGAAGAAAATAAACCAGGATGGTATCATGTGGGAAGTAGGACATGTTACAGGAGTAACCTCCAATTCCCTAACCAAAGACTCTTTCACATTCCTGTTGTTGACCCCTTTAGCAACCTCTGCGTCCTCACTGGTTGAAGCCCTTTTGGCTGTCCTTCAAGGTGCAGCTGGAACACTGATTCCATTAATCTTTAATCTCCCACATCACAGCAGGGATGTCCCTGGCCCCAGGTTCTGGCCTGTGTTTGCTGTGCTCTCTGAAGCTGCCTAGTCCCATCTGAGGCACTTCCTGCCTCCCCCACCATGTGTCCCCAGCATCTACTGTCTGTACACAGAAACTGATTAGCAAAGGTGAATGCTGACTGAATAAAGACAGAGATACGCGTGCCACTTCTTGGTTCTGCATTCATTATCTCCCTCTAGATAGAACCAAAGACTGTGTCCGGTCATGAGCAGCAGGTGGTTGTCAGAGAAAAGCTACCCCAGATTTCAGTAATTGCCCCTGTTCCCTAAAGTGTGATGTCGGTCCCTTGTTTACATTGAGTCTGCCTGGCCCTTTTGTTTTGTTAGCTTCTCTATCTGTTCTTTTTATTTTAGAATTATTTCTAAAGATTTTTTCCCCCTGGAATTAGGAGTTATAGAGGAGAAATAGAGTGGTCTGGCGTTCACTGGTTCACTCCCCAAATGGCCACAATGTCCAGAGTTGAGTCAATCAAAGCCAGGAGCCAGGAGCTACCTCTGTGTGCAGGGTCCCAAGGTTTTGGGCCATCCTTCACTGCTTTCCCAGGCCACAAGCAGGGCGCTGGATGGGAAGTGGAGCAGCTAGGATACAAACTGGGACCCATATGGGTTGCTGGCACCTCAGGCAGAAGCTTATCCTACTGTACCATGCATGATGCTGGCCCCTGTATCTGTTCTTAAAAGCTACCTCTTGCTGTACTAGCTTACACCAAACCCTTCTATGGGCCTGCTGTTGCCGTGAGATGTCATGGCACGCCTGTGGGGGAAGAGAGTAAAAGCCTCAGGTGACAGCCTGGAGCTCATTGTCAAAGGACTTGGAGGCCTGCTCTCAGTGGCCACTCATCTGTCTGGTGGCCTCTGCCAGGGTCCACAAAGCCACATTTTGATCACACAGGAAGTTACCAGAGCTTGAATAGTTTTTGAGTTGCACTTAGGACTCTGAACTGGAAGCAACTGGGTTTGCCAGTTATCCTACAAGGTCCCTAGGACAAAGGGTTTGACTTCCATGATCTATTCTTACACAATCTCAGATTCTCTTTATCAATTCCTGGCTTCCGCTGTGTGAAAGTAAAAGAGAAAAGGTCGTTTACAGACAGTCTGGAAATGAGAGAGAGAGTGTCAAGGCCAACATGCCCTCGGGTCATCGCGCTCCTCCCTCTCTGGCCCTTGCGCCAGGTGCAGCCTGCAGGGCTCTTATCTCAGCAGGTGTTGTTTGCGGGGCTCCTCTGCTTTGCTCGGCCTCCACACCCTTCACCTTGACCTCCACTTGCCCACAACTTCCTGTGACTTTGTCCTTGTCCATTCTCTGCTCCCTCTGCTCCAGGGAGTCAAGGGCTAGCATACTGGTCCTTCAAATACTTTGTGCTGTTCTTCCAAAGCTTTTAACCTTCTCTGGACAGCATCCCACTGCTGCTCTTTGACATGTGCTAGACTGGCATCATCCAAAGGAAATACGATGTGAGCTATATATACAGTTATGAGTTTTCTAATAGCCACATTTTAAAGAAGTGAAATGGAAATGAGGAAAATTCATTTTAAGAATGTGTCTTTAATTCGAACTATTCAGTGTATCATTTTAACATATAATCAGTATAAACATCTAAATGATATGGTTTACAGTTCATCTTTTTGTGCGAGATCTTCAGAGGCTGGCGTGTGACTTACCCTTACTGACTGGTCACATTGCAGGTGTTCGCTCAGCACACATGATAATCTCATTGTCACTAGGATGCTAGCTGGTACAAGTTAGACCTTGTGACCATTCAGGGTCCTGCGCTATGCTTCTTAGTTTCTTGGCACTTAGCGTAACACCTTGCCTAGATCAGGTGCTCAAAACCAATGTATAGAATAAAATAATGTGATCTTGGTCTTAAATGCAAAGTATAAATTACAAATTTGAAAAATTGTTTGTCTGATGGAGCTCCCATCTGCTGGCTCATCCCCCAAATGTCTGCAACAGCCAGGCCAAAGCTGAGAGCTGAGAACTCAGTTCAAGGCTCACAGGCTGTGAGGATGCACTGCTGAGCTGTTGCTCCCAGTGCACGTTAGCAGGACTATGATATGATCTTAGCCACTCCAAACTCCCGTGAGTTCATGCGGCTATGTTGAAGATCAAAGACTATTGCTAGAGTTTATTTGATGTCATTTGTAGAACCAGACCTTGCTATTTCAATTCTACACAATTAAGAAAATTCTAGGCCCAGAGCAATGGCCTAGTGGCTAAATCCTGGCCTTACAGGTGCCAGGATCCCAGCTGGGCACCAGTTTAAGTCACAGCTGCACCACTTCCCATCTAGCTCCCTCCCTGTGGCCTGGGAAAGCAGTCGAGGATGGCCTAAAGCCTTGGGACCCTATACCCTTGTGGGAGATCCAGGGGAAACTCCTAATTCCTGGCTGCTAGCTATGGATGGCTCAGCTCTGGCTGTTGCAGATGTTTGGGGAGTGAACCGGCAAAGAAGATCTTTTTTTCTCCTCTCTGTAAATATGCCTTTATAATAAAAATAAATAAGTATTTAAAAATCCCAAATATTTATGCCTTGAATACACATATTTTGATTTTTAAAAAGATTTATTTGGAAGGCAGAGTGACATGAAGAGGTGGAGGGTCAGAAACAGTGTGAGAGAGGGAGAGAGTAAGAAGAGAGAATCTGGCTCATTCCCCAGAAGGGCAAGGCACTAGTGCTGCATCAGGTGGAAGCCAGGAGCCAGGAACTCTGTGCTGGTCTCCCACATGGGTAATGGGGGCCCAAATACTAGTGCAACTTCTGTCTTCACAGGTGTGATCCAGGGAGTTGGACACTCTGACTCAGGAAGCTGGCGTGGCAATCAGTGGCTGAACAGACTGTGCCACAACACTGGCCCCTAGGTTTTTGCTGCTGTTGTTTTCAGTTTTTATTTTAGATGATGTTTACATAGTTTAACAGGGTGGGAAGGATCCAGGGTCAGCGAAAAGTGAGTGTGACCATTGTTTAAGTTTTCCGTTTCTTTTTGCTTTATCTGGAGAGAAGCAGGGAAGACAAGGGGAAAAGCCACACTCAGCCTCTCAAGCGCCTCAATATGCAGGGCTTGGGAGTGGTCACCCAGCATTGACCCAGGGTCCTCATGTGGTGTGCACTCCAAGTTTTGAAGTATTGTTGATCTCGCTGATCCAAGGATGAGGGAACACTTTCTTTTTTGGTTTTTTTGTTTTGTTTTGTTTTTTGAGATATATTTTATTTTTATTGGAAAGGCAGATATATAGAGAGGAAGAGAGACAGAGAGGAAGATCTTTTATCCAATGATTCACTCCCCAAGCAGCCGCAATGGTCAGAGCTGAGCTGATTCGAAGCCAGGAGCCTCTTCCAGGCCTCCCACACGGGTGCAGCATCCAAGGCTTTGGGCCATCCTTGACTGCTTTCTCAGGCACAAGCAAGGAGCTGGATAGGAAGTGGGGGCACTGGGATTAGAACCAGCACCCATATAGGAACATCCTGGCATGTGAAAGGCAAGGACTTTAGCCACTAGGCTATCTTGCTGGGCCCACATTGGCTGACATAGTTCACCTTGGAGTTTCCATTCACCCAAATATTTGCTGTCATTGTTGTGCTGTGGTAGTTGTTCAATCTGTTCTGTTCTCCTTCCTCTGCTGTGGTAGCAGATGTCTTCTGAAGGCCCCAGTGGACTGCCGGATCCTCTGTGTGAATCTGGGCCAGCCGTCCACTACTCGGTCTTCTGAGGAGGATCAGTTCTTGCAGGTGGGCCCAATGGCCTGGGGCAGGTGTCCCAGGCACCCCTGGACCCCCGCCCCAGGATTCACAGACCTAGCACCTACCAAACGCCCAAGGACCCGTGGTTCCTAGTTTTGATCATTTTTTTTTATCTCTTCAACAAAAGCAAACATAGTTAGATATATTTATATTATAGCCTTGAATTTTTCTTTAGGTATTCAAAATAAACTGGACTATATCACAGCTTTAAACATAAAAACCATTTGGATTACTTCGTTTTATAAATCAGCCCTTAAAGATTTTAGATATGGTGTTGAAGATTTCCGAGAAATTGATCCTATGTTTGGAACAATGGAAGATTTTGAGAATCTGCTTGCAGCCATCCATGATAAAGGTAAGCCCACTTCCGGTGCTTGTTTAAAGTGTTCTTCCCGCTCACTGTCATGGAGTACTCAAATCTAATCTTTGCTATTATTTGGGATGTTCTTTCACACCTTAGGTTTAAAACTAATCATGGACTTCATACCGAATCACACCAGCGATCGGCACACTTGGTTCCAGCTGAGTCGGACACGAACTGGGAAGTACACAGATTATTACATCTGGCACGACTGTGTCCGGGAGAACGGGGAGACCATTCCACCCAACAACTGGGTAAGTACCGAGCTGCCTCATTTACAAAGAAGAAGTAAGGAGGTCTGCAGTGGTTTAACTCGTTATTTATAAAAATCCCCTTTGGGGAAAATTGTCAATGGATTTGGTTTAAGGGAAAAGAAAAATGTTTCCTAGGGACATTGAAAAAGTTTCCTGAATGACATTGAGGCTTCTGATTTTATTGTTTGACAAACTAAAACCCATGCACTTCACTGCCCCCTCTTCCCTTACTTTCTGTCTCAGCCATCTTTGGCTCCCCACCTTGTGAGTTTAGTAACTGATTTGCTATTATTCTGATGAGTCCATCCAAACCTAAGCTGAATGTTAGTTAAATAGGATGTTAGTACCTTTTACTTAATGTTTACTTTAATGTTGGTCCTTTTAGGATAAGCTACTACATAAGTCACACTTCTGAGAAACTATGCATCATGTGCCTGAACTTAGATTGGAGTAGGCATTGTGGGTTTCATTTGCATCTTTACTTGTCTCCCGGGCCAGATCTTGCGCTGGTTCTGCCTTGCTGCTTCTCGGATCGCTGTGCACCCGTTCTGTCTGGGCTCTCTCTTCCCATTTCAGTCCCTCCTTTTGTCTTGGCTTTCTCCGTAAACGCTTCGACATGCTCGTCCTGGGCATCAACCTGTAGATGACTGACCTAAGACATTTAGAAACGACCAGGCTGGTGACATGAGCTTCTCCTCAGGCAGCCTGGCGTTTAGATTCCATGAGAGGGATCACCGAGCAGCCCCACACAGGAAGCAGCAAGTCCTCGTGGTTTTACCTGCTTCGTTTTTCGATTTCCAGTCTAAAATAATAATAATGATAATAGTAAATGTTTACTCAGTGACTCCTGTGTGCCTGGCTGTGCTATTTCTTGCTCATTAGTTCACTCTTTGTTCCTCTAAAGTTAGGTTTTAATCCCAGTTTCACAGATTGGCAGACTAAATTCACACATGAAATTGCTGAATGTCTTACTTGTGAGAGCCAGTAGTTTTTAAGTGAATGATCTTACTTCTCTGGGGCCGTGTTAAATATTCAGTATATCTGGCTTCAGTCTTTAAGACCAGTGGAATGTATGTTTCCCCTACGCTGACCACCATTTGTTTTTCTTTGCAAACAGGAGTAGAGTGCCTGGACAGGGGACTGAAGAAAATCTGTTAATAATGTCTGTTTAAGAACGTGGCCTTGTCTTGAGTTTGAGCAGTGGTTTGCTGTTAAGATTGCTGTGAATCGTTTCTGTTGTTCAAATGTCTGAGTCGTGTTTGTGTGGCACTGTTCTTCCTAGGAGGAAGATTCCCTGGATTGGCACACTCTGCCTGCAAGGGACCTGGGAGGATACTGGTAATTCCCTTGTGGGCACTACCACCCAATGAATAATTCTAAATAACTGCTCTGCTGTTTTGTTTGCTAGTTAAGTGTTTACGGCAACTCCAGTTGGCATTTTGATGAAGTGCGAAACCAGTGCTATTTTCACCAGTTTCTGAAAGAGCAGCCTGATTTAAACTTACGCAACCTAGACGTTCAAGAGGAAATAAAGGTGAGTGTCGACACCACACAGACCTCTCCATTAGTGGAAACTTTTTAAAAATATATATATTTTTTATGCATTATGTGACAGTTTCATAGGCTCTGGGGATCCCCAACCCCTCCCCAAATCTCTACCCCATGGTGGATTCTTCCACCTTGTTGCTGTATTACATTTCAAATTCAGTCAAGATTGTTTCATTGCAAGAGTATACCCAGCATAGAGTTCAGCATCTTATTGTCCTGGTTAATTCAGCAGTTTCTTGGGGAGACCATCTCTGGTCTGAAAGCAGAGCTGGCAGAATACCATCCTGATCAATTTAAAGCCACAAGATAACATCAATGGCAATTTACAACATTATGGAATTAATTGACATGGTATTGAGTAACCAATATGTTAAAAAAAAAAAATGCGAGTTCTGAACCACATCCTGTGACTACTTCATTGACATTTCAATTTTAGTTTATATGCAGAACCGGCTTCTATACACCTTAAAATGGCTATAGGGTACTATTCAGACTGTTTCATGTCTATTTTCATTTTAGTATTTAGCAGTTTATAATGTTGAAGCATAATTTTGCTGAACTTAGCAGATTTTAGGATAGTCTAAAGTGGGTTATAACTCTAACAAGGCATATGTCAACAACTGAGGTGCAGAACGGTTTTAGGAGGGGTGTGCAGAGAAATCTTCAATACCTTAGTGAGGAGTAACCTTTGTGTCCTACCTAGTAAGGTATTTGTGAGTCCATGCTGACCATTTCCTGTCTGGTTCTAAGCTTTCCTTGTTGTTCTCTGCCTATCTAGTCTAATTTGTGTGTGTGTGGGGGGGGAGGCGGGGCTCTGGAGTGACCCTGATGGTCATTGCAAGAGAGGGTGGGGATCCAGAGTTGGGACCAGAGAAAGGACCAGAGAAAGCTCCTCTCCCTAGTCCTGAAGGAAGTTTACTGTTCTGTTCCTGTGGACCGCTCAGGGTTTCTGGCTGTTGCATTAGTGGAAACTTAAGTGGTTGTATTGAATGGTAACCATGTAGGCAGAATCAAGCAGTGTAATTAAATTCTGAGGTTAAGTTGGCTTGAGATCAGTGTAGTTAGATGTGTTGGTGTCTTCTTCCTTCATCTAACCCAAAATAATCTAAGTGGAAAGGGGGACAGAAACTTGTATTCTACACTCTGCATTACCTCCTGGCATGTGACACGGAGCTGGTGCTGGGAGGGAGTCAGTCTGGGCTTTGGGATTCAGCTCCTGCATTTCATCTCTGGGTGAATTCTCTGGCTGTTCTGTGTGTCTGATCTCTTATCTAGGAACCAAGTTGATGGCAGTATTTGTCTCAGAGGTCCTTTGGGAAGGTTAGCTAGAGAATTCAGACTCAGCACTTCAGTAAAGATTAAAACGTATTGCTTACTGGATTCAAGACCCCATTCTGAGTGCTAACCAGGCAGTAGGGAATAAAGGCAGCACTGCCCTCAAAGACTCACAAATGTACTGACGGGGCAGGAGACGACTAAGCAAGAGATTACATGTAGGTGGTGGTGAATGCCAAGGAGAAGGGCACAGGAGTGCCAGTAGAAGGTGCTTACCTTAACTTGGCAGGTAATCATTGAATTTTGCAATATTTTGGGACATCCTTGTACTCTTGAATGCACTTGTTGCTTGCCTAAAATTAAAACTTAACTGGGTGTCCTGCGTTGTACTTGGCAGTCCTGCCAGTAGCATGCTTGGAGTGAGTGAGGAGAAGCGGCACAGAGCTGAGGCCCAGGAAGTAGGAGGTGGCAGCTGAGCTTCTTGCAGGGGGCCCATGCTGAGCTGCTACCCAGTCCTCTGCTGCCAGCCCCGATGGGCTCACATCTATGCGGTGGGGACAGCTCCAGCGTAACCTGGTGCATAGTTCACAATAGAGACTGGCTGTAGTGTTGCTATTGTTGTTCTTGTCTTTGTAGAGACCACGAAGGGTGGGAATTCAGGGGAGCAGGGCTAGGGCTCTGAAGTGGGCATGTGGGAGGAGACTCCAGCAGAGAACAGAGAGAGGGCTGGGGTGCTCAAAGGGAGCCGACAAGAGAGGGTGCAGGCGGCCACAGTGGAGTCAGCAGGGTTGCTAGAATTCCTAGTTGATTTTTTTTGTTTCATTTTTGAGTGATTTTTTTTAAAATTAAGATCTCATTCACATGCCACAAAATTCACTCCTTGCAAGTGTGTAATTCCAAGTGTATAATTAGTACAGCCACAGAGTCATACAACCATTACCACTAATTTCAGTATATTTTTATCATCCTCCAGAGAAGCCGCACACTGATTAGCAGTCCCTCCCCACGGCCCCTTTGTTCTATCCCCACCGGCCCTAGCAACCACCAATCTGCTGATTTGCCTATGTATAGGACATTTCATATACACTGACTCATATGCTATATGTGTATTTATATAGTTTTGTCTGTATATGTGGGTAACTGCCCAAGCAGCTCAGCCATCTTGCACTCCCAGCAGTGTGCAGGGGATCCACCCAGTTTTTCTCCCTGCTCACCAGTACTGCTTGCTGTCTTCATCAGAGTCTCCCAGTTGGGTGAAAAGCGGTGCCTTATGGTGTGTGATATCTGCACTTCCCTGATGGAATGGATTTTGGAACGTCTTTTCTTGTGCTTATAGCTCATTTTTTTTTTTGTCTTCACTGTAGAAGAATCTATAGACAAAATCATTTGCCTTTTTCTTGTTGGGTTCTAACAGTTCTTTATAGAGCTTGAATATATTCTTTGCAAATGATTTGTGAGTTTCATAGTTTTAGCTCCTTCATTTTAGATGGTCTGTGATCCATTTCTTTTTTTATATGTATAGTTTGAGAGCAAGGGTGCATCTATATTCTTTCTCATGTGGCTGTCCATTATCCCAGCAACATATTTCAATAAAAAGATCATTCCTTCTCCCCCCATTAAATCATCTTTCAACTCTTGTTGGAAGTAAGTTGAGCATAAACATATGAGCTTGTTTTTGGCTTCTTATTCTGTTCCATTTATCCATACGTCCGTTCTTGTGTTAGTATCACACTGTCTTGGATTATTCTAGATTTGTAGTAACTTTTGGAATTGGAAAGTGTAAATTCTACAACTGTGTCCTTGTTTTAATATTGCTTGCTTGACTATTTTGAATCGTTTGCGTTTCTTTTTTTTTTTAAGATTTTTTTTTTTTTATTATTGGAAAGTCAGATATACAGAGAGGGAAAGAGACAGAGAGGAAGATCTTCCCTCCAATAATTCATTCTCCAAGTGGCCACAACAGCTGGAACTGCGCCAGTCCGAAGCCAGGAGTCTGGAGTCTCTTCCAGGCCTCCCACACAATTGCAGGGTAACAAGCTTTGGGCCGTCCTTGACTGCTTTCCCAGGCCACAGGCAGGGAGCTGGATAGGAAGTAGGGCCGCTGGGACATGAATCGACGCCCATATGGGATCCTGGCACATGCAAGGCGAGGACTTTAGCTGCTAGGCTACTGCACTGGGCCCTAGTCCTTTGTATTTCTACATGAATTTCAGATGATTTTTTTCAATTTTGGCAGATCCTGCTGCAATTTTGATGGGATGTGTTGAATCTGTGGAGTCTTTTTGCCATATTAACAATGTTGTCTTCTAATTTATGAACGTGGGATATCTTTCCATTTATTTAGGTATTGAATGTTTTGCCGTTTTTCACAGGAAAAGTCTTGCTCTTCTGTTAAAATTTATTCTTTTCAAAGTCATCCCTGCTTGCTTTCCCAGGCCATAAGCCAGAGAGTTGGATTGAAAGTAGAGCAGTCAGGACATGGACCTGTGCCCATATAGGTTGCCAGCGCTTGCAGGTGAATTAGCCTGCTGTACCACAGTGCCAGCCTTTATATCTATTCTTATATAGACTCTGATTTTCAAATCATTTTTTACTGTGGTTTTCCAGAATTTAGTTGCTTTGGGATCTCTTGGGAGGGTGGCCTTCTGTTGGTGAGTAGAGGATGGATGGGAGGTGTGAGGCATGGCCAGCTGATTAAGGGGGTTTAGTTGAAGCTCCTCGGGTGGAATATAGGCTTTCCTTTTCTCTATCACAAGGGCTCATGCATGTACCCATGGCTTCCCTTCCTCTCCCCCCACACGCCTGTTGGGCTGCTGTGTACTCGGTGCTTTATCTGAATTACATCAGGCTTAGAGCAAGTCTTTTTTTGTTTTTTTTTTTTTTTCAATTGTGTTTGTATGCTGGAAATCCACACATACTATTTTATAATATACTTTATTAATTTTTATTTTTGATGATTTTTACATAGCTGATTAGGGTGATAAGGGTCAAGGGCTACAGGAAGGTGGGTGAGATCACCATTTCCACATTCTCTTTTTTTCTTCCTTCCTGTGTCTGGGGTAATAGGGGGATAAGGGCAGAAGCCACACCCAGCCTCCCAAAGGCCTCTGCATCCTGGGAGGGAGGACAGCCACACCACCTCATTAGAGCAAGTGTTACTGATGAGATTGTGTGACTGTTTTTGTAGAGAAGGAAGTCTGTAGAGCAGACTAGCCCTCATTGAACAATGCTACAGGAATCAGACTCAGGCTTTGGAACTTGAATCCGCACTCTTGACCACACCTCCGCACCTGCTCCAAGGCAAACTATTTCTTTGTGCTTTCTTTTTCTGGGTTTGATCAAGGATGTTTTCAGTTGATAATTCACAAATCCGCATGTAAACCTGTTGGTTTTTCAGACAGCCCATTTCCCCATACTCCTTGAGACAACAGTGATGGATTGGCTAGAGGCATTTAAGCAAATGTGATAAATCCTGCAAAATGGTGTCAGCCAGCACGTTCCTTGCTCTCTAGATTCACGCAGCTGTCCTCTTGCTGGCATCCCAGTGATGGCATGTACAACCAGGATCCTGCTTCTCTAGGTGTCCTCGATGAACGCCCTTCTGGAGATGACTCATTGGCTCCCCTGGTTAGACACTGTCAGGTGGCTTTGGAGGGACCCCCCACACAGGGGAGGACCCCACACCCTCCCCCAGCACCATTTATCTCTGCAACACAGTTAAGTGGGTTAGTAATTGCAGCCCAGAGCTTGTGGTGAGGAGGTATTTGGAATAACCCCTGCCCACACATTAACTTGGCCCGAGGGAGCCCAAGCGTTCTTCCTCTACATTTCCAGCAGATTCCACTGTCTTTGTCCACTGGGAGGCAGGGGCCCTCCGGCACCTCCTTGCGCCCTCTTTTTCCTTCCTTTCCCAGTAGCCTGCAGGAAGCTGTACCTGGACCTTGCTGGCCTTGAATGCCTTTTCCCGAGGCAGTCAAGGTACCTTCTCAGAGGAAGCAAGGGGTCATATTTGTACATGGAGTTTGTAGTTTCCTAGTCATGTTGGCTTTCTCTTGCTTGACAGATCCCTTATTTGCTAAATGCGGGTTGGAGTGGTCCTGTGAGTTAGCAGCAGAGCAAGGAAGGGAGTCCAGCCTCAAGTCTGGGAATCAGAGTGATCCTGGATCGGCCTTGTGGGGTGCTGGGTCCTTGGGTAGACTAGGTGAGTCACAGTGGTGAGGGTGTAAAGACATGAATGTACAGGTGGCTCTGCTCTCACCAAGACTGGCACTATTAGTGACAAACTCAAGGCACAACAGAAGTCGTTCAGCAACTGCTTTTTACATCAATTCTGCACTTGAAAAAATGACACCATTTAGTGTACCTCCTATATGTGAGGCCCTGTATTAGAATCCTTCATTCTTGACAACACAGGGTAACCTGTTGACCTTGTCCTTAGGGTAAGGTCATTGGTAAGATAAACACATGTGTATGTCAGGGTTTTCTATTCAGGAGGGACAGAAACACAGCTCCAGTAGGGTGTGTCAGTTGGTCTGTCAGTAGATGCCTGGCCTGGGCACAGAGAACACTCAGAGAAGGGTTTGCAAAGAGGGCAGTGCTACCTGATGGATGAATAGGAATGAGGCAGTGGAGGGGGCACAGGCTGTATACAAGTGGAGTGCAAGAAAAATGATGGGACATTAAAAGTGCTAGGAGTATTCCAGCATGTCTGGGACATGGTATTGTGTGTGTGCAGGCACATACACATGCAAATTTTGTGGGTTATCTAGTGGGACTACATCAGCAGTATTGAAAGTCCCAATAAAGGCTGGAGTTTAAAAGGTCTTAGGCAAGAGAACATTTTTATATGCATTTTGAAAAATCAATCCAGTTTTGAAGGGATTTGCAGAAGGTTCAGAAAGGAGTGTGGTGTAGCCATCTGGCTAGAAATACAGTGACAATGCACAGAAAATGTGGTGTAGGGGTGGAGAGAAGCCGTTACGCCCTAGGGAGCTTACGTTGCAATACCAGGTGAAGGGCAGTGCCATTTACCGCAGTGGGAGCTGCAGGAAGCAGGAGGATGTCTTTGTTGCATCATTTGGCTACTGGGAAAGGAAGGAAAAAGAGGGCGCAAGGAGGTGCCGGAGGGCCCCTGCCTCCCAGTGGACAAAGACAGTGGAATCTGCTGGAATCTTTGTTGTTTGAGTTCTGAGATGTCCAGTGCTATAAGGAATGTGGAACTCAGGAAGAGGTCTGGCTCACAGACCAAGTCTGGGATTTGTTGGCACATGGACAATGACTGGGGCTCAGGCCAGGAGCAGGCTGAATGGAACAAGGAGTGTCAAAGAGAGTGGGGCAGCAACTCTCATGTGACCGATCTGGTCTCCATCACACAACTGTGGGAGGAATTCTACCAAAGGGGACAGAATAATGAATGAGAATCTGGGTACTTGGCTATTTGGGGATCAGTTTCATTGTGAAATTAAAGATAGCAGGCTAGTAGCTTCTAAGAATAACACAGTTAATCTACTGTCTGTATTTGACACAGTGCTTGCCTGTTTTACCACCATACCTTCACTATTCCCCTTATTTCTTGGCTGATGGTTGATTCTATTTTCATATTCTAGTAGGAAATCCTTTAACACCCAAGCCCTTCACCTCTTATTTGCCTTCCTGCTAAGGAGTGAATTATTTAACAGCTGAACTGGGTGTGAAGATGAGATACTTTCCAGGTTTCTCTTGAGCCTTATCATTCAATGTGGTTTCATTATTTAATTTTGAGTGGACTCTGTGAATTTTGGAGCCAAATTCAGGAGAGGGGTGGGAGCCCCTAATTACAGTCACCTAAGAGTTCATCTGTAAATAGATAAAGATAGGCTACGTGGGAGCTGTGCTTTCTGTGTGGAGTCATCTGATGCTGGAGGCCGTTTGACACTGATGAACATGACAGTAAGGTATAGGTATTGTAACCAATCACTTTGCTTCTTCCTTTTAGGAAATAATACAGTTCTGGCTCACCAAAGGTGTCGATGGCTTCAGTTTCAATGCTGTTCAGTTTCTCCTAGAAGCGGAACATCTGAGAGATGAGACTCAAGTAAACACATCACAAATCCCGGTAACAGTTTAAAAAATGGTCTTGCTTTTTCTGAAAATGTCAGAAATGTGTTTTGTAGCCTGAGATAGCATTGACAAAGATGAATTATGCTCTGTCCAAAGGAGGTACTTTGAATGATTTTCCTTAGAAATACAGAGGCGTCTCAAAGGAATATGCTGTATTTGCTTGCACTGGTTCTTCTCACAGTGAGGAACCCCTTGGGGAACCTGTCAGTGACAAAGGTTTCTTTATGTTTTAGAAAAGATTTACTGGAAGTGTGCATTACACCCAGAGGAAGATCTTCCACCCATGGGTTCACTCCTCAAATGGCTGTAATCCCCAGAGCTGGGTTGGTCTGAAGTGAACAGCCAAGAGCTTTTCTCAGGTCTCCCACGTGGGGGAAGGAGCCTATCCTCTGTTGCTTTCCCAGGCTCAACAGCAGGGAGCTGGATCGGGAATGGAGTATCCAGGAGTTGAGCCGTCACTTAAATGGGATGCTGGTGTCACAGGCAGCAGCATGACACACTGCACCACAGCACTGGCACCAGTGACAGGGTTTCTTTCTTTCTTTCTTTCTTGTTAAGATTTATTTATTTACTGGAAAGTCAGATATACAAAGAGGAGGAGAGACAGAGAGGAAGATCTTCCATCCAATGATTCACTCCCCAAGTGAGCACAACGGCCGGTGCTATGCCGATCCGAAGCCAGGATCCAGGAGCTTCTTCCGGGTATCCCACATGGGTGCAGGGTCCCAAAGCTTTGGGCCGTCCTTGACTGTTTTCCCAGGCCACAAGCAGGGAGCTGGATGGGAAGTGGAGCTGCTGGGATTAGAACCAGTGCCCATATGGGATCCTGGCACGTTGAAGGCAAGGACTTTTAGCCACTAGGCCACGCCGCTGGGCCCCAGTGACAGGGTTTCTAAGAACACAGTGGCAACTCTATCAAGAACCACAAATAGAGGATGACAAAGTTTCTGTCATCTCACTCATGCTCATGTAAGGAAAGTTAAGTTCCCCAACAATCTTCTAGTTGTTAAAGGGCACATTGCTAGAAGGGAAAAGCCTTGCTGAGCATCTCCTGTGTTGTGCACTGTTGAACTGATACTTGATTTAACTCTCTTAATATCCTAAGAGATGTTTCATGGTCTCCATTTAGCAAATCTCTGTTTAACTTGCAGCCATTACAGAGGAGAAGCTTTCAAGGGAAGGCTGTCTCACCCGACTCTGAGCTCCTGCATTGCACATCAGGGCTTCCCAACACTCCCTCGTGTTGCTGGCTGGTCACCTTTCTCTAGTCACTCTATTGCCAATGGGCAAGTAGCCAGGAGTCCTAACGTGCATTCCAAAATGATGGCGTTGTATGCTTACCCCCGGAATGCTACCTTTCAGTCATGGATGCATTACCGGGGCCCACAGCAATATGAGTAAATCTTAGCGATGTTAACAGTAAATAAAATTTTAAATTATTATAGATGGTATGCAATCCTTTAACCAAAGTTAAGACAAAGCTTCTAGGTTTTGTTTGGAGTATATTTATGAGTACTTATAACCTCGTTAAAATGAAGCAATCAACTAAAGAAGCTGGTGTGTAAAATTAATTACTAGAGCCTGTTATGAACCAAAGGCTTTTGCACATGGTTTCCAATAAAAAGGAAAAATAAAGAGAAAGATGTATTAGTCTGTTCTGAAGAGGAAGAGCTTTTCTTGGAGAAACGTGAAATAACCTTGCTGACTATGCGTTGCCGTGAGGTAGGTATGTTTGCAGTCATGACAGATGAGTGGAATGATGGGTTCTGTGTGCCACCCAAGAACTTAGAGAACAGTTTGAGGAGAAGGCCTGTGGTTCTGACAAAAACAGCTGAGTCTGTCTAGCAAGAGCAGCTCCCTTAGTGCAGGGTACCTCCTCAGCAGGCGACGTCTCGGGTCTGACTGCCCAGCCTGTCAGGTCCCGTCCAGGTCCCGTCCAGGAGCTCTGTCCTTGGTTTCTGTGCTAGTTACCTTTCACTCGACTGAAGGAGACCACTGTGATCTCAGAAGGGCACGAAATGGGGATCAGGAAAAGAGGACTGAAACCCCAAAGTGTGTAACGATGAGATGAAAGGATAGGACTCACTTAAATGGGTGATATGACACGAATGAGTTCTAGAATCATTTAGATAATTTGTTTTGCTTTCTTTGAATTGTTTAAAACATTTAGACAAGTTTCAGAAGACTGTGTTAAAATACTTTTGTAATCAGTGTACTGATGTTAATAAAATTTAGCTAAATAGGTATGTGATTGTTAGAGATGTGTGTTTAGAAACAGACTTACAATGCTAATAATTTAAGCATAATTTGAAGTACTCACAGTTGTATTCCCTCTATCCACAAACTCCGGGGACACTGGAGGTCCCAGGTCCACCCCTGGACATGTGTGTGGCTCAGCTGAAGCCCTCAGGAGACTGTCCCCATGCGTACAGAGCCATAGCGGGGGCAGGGGACACGGGAGATGGTGCTAACCCTGCTGTCCTGGTGTTTAAAGGCTGCGGTGACACACTACTCAGAGCTGTACCACGACTTCACCACTACCCAGGAGGGAATGCATGACATTGTCCGCAGCTTCCGGCAGACCATGGACCAGCACAGCAGGGAGCCTGGCAGATACAGGTGACCCCCGCCATACTTGCCTTGATGGGCACAGAGTCTCATCTGCATGACCAGACATACAAAGGGGCTCAAGGGGTGATTTAACAAAACTGCATTGTTACAGTTTAAGTTTATTCCAATTTATTTATGCCAGAGCCTGGTATGTCCTCATGTTGTTTAACTGTATTTTTAGTTTCTTCTTTTGTATAAAATTGCTAATCATAGTACTGTTACACAGAGGTTTTGTGTAAATTTGTGTGAACTAATTTTGAAAGACAGAAGGGAGAGAGACCTTGCATCTGTTGCTTCATATCACAAATGCCCAGAACAATCTGGGTTAGCCAGACCAAAGCCAGGATCCTGAAATTCAATTTCTCTCCCTTGTGGATGGCAAGGATTCGAACACTTAAGCCATCAGCTGCTGTTTCTTAGGATGTGCATTAGCAAGGAGTTGGATTGGAAGCAGGGGGAATGGGACTTGAACCAGGCACACTGATATGGGATGCAGCTATTTGAAGTGGTATGTCAACCCCAAATTCCTGCCCCAAGAAGTGTGTTTCTTATCTGTTAGGCACACCTTGTATTACATTAGTCTCTGGCTTTATGAGAATGAGTTATTGTCAGGTGACCCAGCATGACATTCTTTGGCCATCTGCCTTTTTTTTTTTTTTTTTTTTAGCAAGCCCTAGCCCTGTATGGTAAATGGCGTGCATGTAACTCCCACATCCTGTAAGCTAGATGTAAGCAGCTGGAGTGGATTCCCAGTGTCCTGACAGGTCCTGAGGATGCTGAACGCTGCCAACTCTTACAGGTTCCTGGGGACAGAAGCCTTTGAGGAGAGCATTGACAGGACCATGAAATACTATGGATTGTCATTTGTCCAAGAAGCCGATTTTCCTTTCAACAATTATTTCACTACTCAAGACACTCTTTCTGGAAACACTGTGTATGAGGTTATCACAACCTGGATGGAAAACATGCCGGAAGGAAAATGGCCTAACTGGATGGTGAGTCCTTACGCTGCTGCACTTGTTACCCCTACATGATCTTGAACTCTGCTTCACTTGGTGATTGGTTAGTGTTCAGGCCTGACAGGTTCTTGACATCAAGCAGACAGTGGCTAGCCAGCTAAATGAATATTTACTGAGTGTTTGTTTATTCTTAGGAATGTACAAGCCCATGCGGGGGTGGAGGGGGTGGGGTGGTGAAGGAAATGGGCATCAAGCCACTCTTTGCACACACCTCAGTTTATGATCCTACTTGGATTAAAGAGGATTTTGGAATGGAGAAGGGATAACTTTATTTTGTGAACATAAAACAGTGACAGGTCACCATTTTGTTGGGAAGAATGCAGTGAAAAAGGCCTATCAGATACTGTGGAGAAGACGTTCCCTTCCATGCTGCAGCCTTTAAAGCAGAGGCTGTGCTTTCCTTGTTGAGTGAGAAGGTCTAACATGCCTGTAGATTGGTCACCTTTCTCTTCAGTGAAGAGTAATCGAAGTAACTGCCTGTGGTGCGGTCATCCACCTGTTGGAAAGATGGCTGTGTGCAGTCCCTGGCTCCTGATTCCAGCTTCCTGCCGGTGCAACCATGAGGGATTCCAGTCATACACATCTGGGTTGCATTCCTGGCCGCTGTGGGCTTGTATGGAGCCTCAAGTTTAGCCAGAGATTAGATTCATTTTCAGTCTTGAGTATCTGCACAATTCTAATTATGTGCGCTTGAGTTCCACCTTTTCTCAATTCCAACTCTGCCAGTGTGTCCCCTGGGAGCAGCAAGTGACTGTGCAAGTAAAAGTCACTGCCGCCCACCTCCCACCTGGGTGGCGATTTGTATGGGGTGCCCAGCTGTCAGCCCTGGCCCTGTTGGGGGCATCTGGAGTGGATCCTAGTGGATGGGAGAACTTTCAACTATATTTACTGAAAAGGAATGAAGGAGGGAAGCAATTATGAAAGAGATAAAATTCGACAAAACTTCTGCCTGTAATAACAGAAAAATATTTTACAGTGACCTATGAAAACCAGATCATTTTTAATATGTATAATGGATAAAATGCACTCTCTTGTCCTAAACTGCAGCAATGTCCCTTTTTAAAAAATATTTGATGGAGAGACAAGAATATCTCCCCTTTGTTGGTTCTCTTCCAAATGCTTGTGATAGCTAGGGCTAAGCCAGGAATTGTTTGGGCCCAAGTGTCATCATCTCATGCCTTTCAGGCCTATTCAGGAAAGTAGATCTGGAAGTACACAGCAGCTGGCACTTCAGTATTGGCGGTGGGTGTCTCTAGTGTGACCTAACCTGCTGAGGCAAAAGGCTAGCTCCAAGGTCTGTTTCTATGATTTAAATTCAAAGGCAGGTTCTCTCTCATGTAGTGACAAATTTTCACAATTCCTTTCATCATTTAGAAATGCAGATATTACCTGACAACCTAGTTATGAAGGGAGGAAGATAATACAGGTGTAAAGGTACTTTTTAAACTACCAAGCTCAGCATATGCATGTGGCATTGAGTTGTGTTGTTATGTAGGATTGGATGTTGAAATGTGTAACCACAGTATTTAACATAGAAATATTTAACAAAAATAGAAAATACTGTACAATTTCCTAGAGGACTATGTACATTTTTTTTTTAATAAAAGCTGATTTTAATGATTCCCAGCAAGTTCTAAAAGGTAAAAGTCACAACAGGGAATAGAAGAATCAGCCATCTTTCTGCTATCCATCCCTTTCACATTTCTTCGTCCTTTCTTTGGAGGAAGCTCAATTCTCTTATCCGAACGTGAGGGTACATGTTGATGCACTTCTAAATTACCTTAATCGGGCCCGGCGCGGTGGCGCAAGTGGTTAAAGGTCCTCGCCTTGCACCCCCGGGATCCCATATGGGCGCCGGTTCTAATCCCGGCAGCCCCGCTTCCCTTCCAGCTCCCTGCTTGTGGCCTGGGAAAGCAGTCGAGGACGGCCCAAAGCTTTGGGAACCTGCACCCGTGTGGGAGACCCGGAAGAGGCTCCTGGCTTCGGATCGGCATAGTATCGGCCCGTTGCGCTCACTTGGGGAGTGAATCATCGGACGGAAGATCTTCCTCTCTGTCTCTCCTCTCTGTATATCCGCCTTTCCAATGAAAAAATAATAAAAATAAATCTTTAAATTACCTTAATCGCGTTATTATTGGGAAGTAAATGGTCATGACCATTTTGCTGGTTATCAGTAAATCAGTTACATATCAAGTAAGGTTAGCAAGCAAAGCTAGGCTTGCTGATACCAAAGTCCTAAGTCCCCTCAGCCATCTGTCTAGTGAACTCTGTGACATAGGGTAAAGTTTCCAGAGAAGCATGGACAGAGCTGTGTTCTCAAAAGTATTTGCCTTTCAGATTGGTGGACCGGACATTACGCGGCTGACTTCTCGGCTGGGGAACCAGTACGTCAACATCATGAACATGCTGCTTTTCACACTGCCTGGAACTCCCATAACTTACTACGGAGAAGAGATAGGAATGGGAAATATTTTAGCCACAGATCTCAGTGAAAGCTATGATACTGTAAGTTTAATGCAACACCTATAAAACCAAGAATTTGTGGCTGTGCCAAATCAGAGAACTTATTATTTCTATTGTTCAACCATGTTTTTTTTTTTTTTAATGGTTTTACTTTTCTTATAGTCAGATAAGAACTCCCAGTATTCTTGGTGGTTGGGGGAATTTATTTAAGTTGCTGGTTTTCCCATACCCCCTCCAGCAAGCTGTAATTTAAAGATGTTTTTCAGCTGATTCCTAGGCATACTAAAATTTGAGAGCAAGTAGTTTCATTTGGAATATTACTCCCTGCCTTGTACTTGAAACAAGGAGATCTCCTTTTGTGCTTATTAGGTCTCCTAAACCTTGGGTTACACTAGTACAAATACAACCATAACTTCTGAGTTGTGTGTGTTTTTCAGTTTTTCTTCTGTTTGTGGCTGCAGTTCTCGACACTGTGCTGCTGGGCAGGTGACTGCTTGGGCCTCTGGTTTGTAGGATTAGCTCTCTAGTCCCTCCTACCAGGTTAAGGTATCAGTTTACATTTGTGTGTATAACCCTATATGGAACAATCAGTCCGGATAAATGAGTAGGAAAGAATCCAGGTTCACTTGCAAATAGCAGTGCTCCTGAAGTGACATGAGTTGTTCACAGCACATTCTCAATGAAAATGCAGATTCCAAGCATGCACTGGAAGGTCGGCTGGTTTAGCTTACTCCCCCAAGACAATATGAGCCATTTTCCAATTTAAAAAGTGTGCACGTGATTTATGTATTAAACATTAAAGCCTTCTAATCACAAAAACTTGTAGTTCAAGCACCATCTAAAAAAGCAATTCAGACATAAATCAGGATCAAAGACCATTTCTGTTGATAAGCACATTGCTTCCTCTTCCTTGACAGAATACGCTTCTCTCCAAGTCACCAATGCAGTGGGACAACAGCTCCAACGCTGGGTTTTCTGAAGGCAATCACACCTGGCTACCCACTGGTCAGGATTACCACACCGTGAATGTTGCTGTAAGTACCAAGAATGACTTCATGTTCTCTAGTCAGAGAAAAATCTCCCATCTGCTCACTCACCAAATGTCCCAATAGAAGGGGCTGAACCTGGCCTGAAACCAGGAGCAGGGAATTCCATCTGGGTCTCCCACTGTGGGTGGCAGAAACCCAGCTATCTGAGCTACCCCACTGCCTCCAGGGTGCACATTAGTGGGAAGCTGCAATCAAGAACACAATCATAAGTCTCAAACAATACCATTTTAATACAATATATTCATAATAGCCTCAGAAATGAATGATGCCACTAACAGATGAATATTCACCTAATTTCTAAAAGACTGTAAAAATCAGCATTGCAAGAAATGAAAGCATAGGAACTGGAAGTTAACACACAAGGGAAAATAAATCTAATAGGTTCAGGTAAGAATATTGCAGAAACTTTGCAAGTTACAGTAACTGGCTGTATAATTTAGGAAAAAACAATCTGGGGCCAATTTGGTGATTATATGTATTGGACTCAATTTTCAAAGCTTGAAAAGTGTCAAACTTGTGCCTTGTGCAGAAAAAAAAAAACCAAAAATCAACAAAGACTTAGTTCTGATGCCTCCCAATTCCCTTGAAATGCTCTCAGAAGTCACTCCCACCTAGCAGACACTGGAGGCCAGGGGAGTTGGCGGGACTTGCACTAACTCATCATTATAGCCAGGAAAAGAGCCCTGGATCCCAAAGACAAACCAGGTGAGCTGCTCACAACTGTGAACAGCAGGCCACTGAAGGGGAGCAGACGAGGAAGAGGATGATACTGCCTTTGAGGAATGCCAAGACCATAGAGACAGACACCATTTCTCACAGAACACTGCAGAATGCAAAGAAAACCCAACTGTAATGTGATAAACATTCCCAGCATTGTGGTGGAGCAAGTAAAGCCATGGCCTGTGGTGCCATCATCCTATATGGGCGCCAGCTCCAGTGGCTCCACCTCCAATCTAGCTCCCTGCAAGTTGTCTGGGAAAAGCAGTGGAAGTCCTTGCTACCCATGTGGAAGACTGGAGGAAGATTTAGATTTCCACTTGACCGAGCCCTGGCCATTGCAGCCATTTGGGGAGTGAACCAGCAGATGGAAGATCTGTTTCTTTCTAAGATTTATTTTTATTGCAAAGTCAGATATACAGAGAGGAAGATCTTCCATCCGATCATTCACTCCCCAAGTGAGCGTAACGGCTGGTGCTGTGCTGATCCAAAGCCAGGAGCTTCCTCCGGGTCTCCCATACGGGTGTAGGGTCCCAAGGCTCTGGGCCGTCTTCAACAGGCCACAAGCAGGGAGCTGGAAGAGAAGTGGAGCTGCCAAAATGTGAACCAGCACCCATGTGGGATCCTGGCATGTGCAAGGCGAGGACTTTAGCCCCACTAGACTATTGCACCAGGCCAAGTGATTATTAATTTCTAAATAGGAAGTTGTGATAGATTCGACAGACAGTGCGAGTGCCTGAACGGAAGAGGAAGAATTCTAATTTTCTTGTTTTATATAAGGACAAAGTAATTCTATGGGGGTAGGTGATATGGTATAGAGGGTTAAGCTCCCATTTGGGACCCTGGCATTCATACTGGACTGTGTAGGATCAAGACCTGTTCCACTTGTGATCCAACTTCCCTCTGATGCTTTTGGATGATGATGGCTCAAGCACTGGGATATGTGCCTTCTATGTGGGAAACCTGGGTAGAATTACTGGCTCCTGGTTTTAGCCTGGCCTAGCATATATCTCTCCCCACTCCCTCCACCTACGTTTCAGCTACTGAGAGGCCAATGTGACTATTAAATCCAGTTCCTGGGTCATATAGCAAGTGCCTGCCATACAGGACAACACCTAATATGTTATTTCTAGTAGTGCAGTTTCGACAGTGAGGAAAAACTTAGAGCTGTCATGATAATTTTAGACAGTAGTCATTATATGGACAAAGAAAATGTTAAGTAAGTCACCCAGTAAAAAGTGTTTTCTGCAGGAGAAAAACCCCACACAACAGATTAACTGCAAATGAAAGATCAGATGTGGGGCTCAGTGGATTTAGTCTGGCAACACCAGTATCCCATATGGATGCTGGCTCGAGTGATCTGACTTTTAACAGGCCAGAGGAAGGCCACAGTGCTTGGGCCCCACTGAGTCCCAGCTGTTGAGGCCATGTGGGGGATGAACCCAGCAGATGGACAGCATGCTTGCTCCCTCCCTCACAAATAAATAAATCTTTAAAGGATACAGATAAAATGCTTCAGGTAATCACAAATATGAATGGGAAAAATTCATTTCTTGAGAAATAAAAACACTCAGATAACAAGGCAAAATCCAAAAGAGGAGACATAGCTAAAGCAAAGGACATGGAAAGAAGTCAAATAAAAATCTAGCATGCAAATAGCATGGAAAGGCAAGCCCATAATCCAGCTCTGGTTATTTAAATAAAGTATCCACACGTTGTGCCCTAGCCGTTCTCTTCCTGGGTGGTTGGAACCAGGACATGTGCACATGCGCAGTATCATGCGCAAGGACTTCTCCTGCAGCAGTTGGCTTTGCACAGCAGAACCTGGAAATGAGGGCATTGTTTTATCAAGAGAAACCAGCTTCATCAATTCTGGGACCAGTAGGCAGCTTTTAAAAAGAATGAGATTAAGAGACTAGCCCATACTGCCATGAGACCATTTCTATATGCATTAAATAATAATAATGAAAAGTACAGAGTGATAACATGCTACTATCTGTAGAAGGAAAGAAAAATTGCTTACATAAGTTTGTCTGCATAGGCCAAAGGTGATTATTTACTATTATATATAAAAGTGAAAACACAAATACAGTAATGTTATCTTTGGGAAGGGAAATGGGAAGATATGAACTGGCTGAAGAAAATCTTTATTGTATATATTCTTGGAATTCACTTTTATACAGTATACGTGCAATTTCCAGTCAAAAAATAAAGTTACAAAATGCAGGCTTGGAAATATTTAATAGCAGACAAAATAGAATTCAATATGAAAAGCATTTATGAGACAAAGGCAATTTCCAAAAAATTGAAAAAAGAACATTCCACTAAAAATCAATCTTTTATGCACTTAACAATAGCTTCAAAATGTATAAAACAACTACTCTGAGAAATGCAAAATTAACAAATCCACAATTATAGGGAGAGACATCAACCTACTTTCTAGAGAGTGACAAACTAAGTAGACAACTATAGTAACCAACACATCCCGGACATTGCTGAGTGGCACTGAACTATGTGCTTGTCATGCATTATCTAAGGCTACAGACATTGTGAGATAAATACTTGAGTACCTGATCAACAGAACAAACATATATACTAGATAATCACTGAGGACCACACAGTAGGCACTCATCTCTAAAGAACAAGAACCACCACCACCACCCCTCCCAACCCAGGAAACACGGCTGGCAAGAGTACAATGCAATGAACATTACCTTTGATTTGGCAACAGCTTTTATGAAGAATAATTTGGCATTATTTATCATGTGTCCATACTCTGACATAATTGACAATCTACCTTAAATAAATACAAAATATGGGGAGAGAATAAAAAAATGTGAGAACATTAGAAATGCAAATGTTAAAATCAGAAGGAATGGTGAAGTGTGGTGTAAGCATTCAGAGGAGTCTATCCTGCTATTAAAGTGACATGTATGGAGACATATAATAATGGGAAATCACTTGAGATGTTTAATGAACAAAACATTAAATTATGTACATTTTATATAAACTCAAAGCTCCTTTCATGAAAAAACGAAAATCTAATTCAGGCAGCTTTTTTCAACTTCCCATTCCATCATTAGGGTATGCAAGAAATAGATGTCTGTGGAAGTTACATGGTCTTTGCGTAATAGCAGCCTACACTAACAAAAAATGTCCAGATTCAAATTCACTGCTTTGGCGGCTGTTTTTCTTTTTGGCATTTGGCAGTTAACAACATAGTATAGAGCAACTTGAAGGCAAGACAGATATCCATGTTTTGGGATTCCTAAAGTGGAGTCACACTTGGTCTCTACAGCAGCCTTGATAGGGTTAATGATTCCCAGACAAGTTGAAAACCTGAAAATTTGCCTTTTCTATCAGTTTTTTGTTCAAACTACTATCGGCTGATCAATGCTTACAGTCTGATATTTTTAGGGACAAAATGGAGCAAATTTTGGGAAATTTTTATCACATAATAAAAATGTTTTTTAAAAGTCCTAAAGTCAAAATTTATGTAAATACTCTTGTTTTAAAAAACAGGCCCAAGAGACCCAGCCCAGGTCAACTTTGAAGCTGTATCAGGATTTAAGTCTACTGCACGCCAACGAACTGCTGCTCAGCAGGGGCTGGTTCTGTCATCTGAGGAATGACAGCCGTGTTTTCGCGTACACCAGAGAGCTGGACGGCATAGACAGAGTCTTTATTGTGGTTCTCAATTTTGGAGAATCAACACTGCTCAACCTACAGGAAATGATTTCAGGACTCCCTGCGAGACTGAGGATCCGGCTGAGCACCGACTCTGCCTCCAACGGCAGTGAAGTCGATACGAGTGGCATTTACCTTGAGAAGGGAAGAGGAGTCATCCTGGAGCACAAAACAAAGAACCTCCTTCATCGCCAGTCAGCTTTCAGGGACAGATGTTTTATTTCCAATCGCGCATGCTACTCCAGTGTTTTCAACATTCTGTACAGCTCCTGTTAGGCAGGCCCCTCTACGAGACAGAGGGAGACGACCCGCCACCTGCAGTGCCGTATGCATCCGCAGAGGAATGGCCATGAGGTACTTCTGTAGATTACACTTCACTGCTTTAGGAAAAACTTCCCAAATCTTTTGAAAGAACAGTAAAATGTCTCAAAGAAAACCAGTGAACTTTCATGTGAATCTTTTTTTCTTAAGATGCACTCACCGAAACTGTAATCTCTAAATGTTGACAGGCACACAGGCAGGACGCGAATCTGTAAACTGTTCAAAGTAAACAGGCACAAGCAAAGCTGTTCTGAAGGGAGCCCCGGGTGGGCTGGCCCCGCTTCCTCCCTCTGTCCTTCTAAGGAGCGTGGTTTGACCTTGTCCAGGTTAAGCGACATGTGCATCAATGCCTTCGCTGGTGAGACTATAGTACGCAAACTCTGAATGGAGTAGCAAATTAAAAAAAAAATTTAATAATTTAAAAAAATCTCACTTTTGCTAACCTAACTGGAAATAAGATTATAAAACACTTTACTGTATTTTCGATTCCCAGTTGAATGTGGAAGTTCAGAACTTTAGGTATTTCTTAAGATTCTCGAAAACACTGGTGCTGTCAAGTCCAAGTTCCTCATATAGGAATTTAATTTGGGCTGTAATCTAAAAGAAAGACATTTTAGAAATTAGAATGACTATGTGGTAGAACTCCAGTGTTGAAGTTTTTCTTCTGCTCCCCTTCACTTAACACAAAAGGTAACAGTTGATGCTAAGAGTTTTTTCACTTAGGACAGAGGAAGGAGGTGTCCGGCAATGAGCACTCAGTTATACACTCAGAGCCCATGGTCAAGTACAGGGGAGCTTCTGCTCTTGGTGATCAGCATCCCTCCTCCCTCCTGGGTGTCAGTTACAGACCTGGCGGCCGGGAGCAGGTCTTCCCAGAGCCTTTTAGAAAGGTAATAGCACACATCTTGGCAGACACTTGGGCCATCTGCCAGTCTGAGGCAACTCAGAACGTACCTTTTTGTGAGAATCTTCAATCACGTGATTGCCTCCAGGCTGAATATCTAAAATAATATTGGGGGCCTGATAGCCTGAAAGAATCAACAATTGAAACAATTAGAATCTCCTCTCCTCTTGGATACACTGTTCAAATCCTCCCCCTAGCAATGGTAAGAAGGGAGGCATGGCGGGGCAGGGAGAAGAGCAGCTTCTGACCCAGGGAAAGCAAGAGGCGGCATCCGGCTGGCTGAGGACGCGGGATGGAAGAGAGTGCAGCACCGCCATGCGAGGCTGCGACCTGGGAGGGAGACCCTCGGCTTCTGGGAGCCGGAAACGCCAACCACAGCAATGGGCCCAATGAGACTAAGACAGAGGCTGAGTACAGACTCACTTCTAGGTGTGTTCCTCCCACAGCCGAACCCAGAATGTCCTCTGAGTTTCAAGGCAGAAAGGAAGAGCTGTTATCTAATGAAAGATCTAGAAGAAACTGCTAGATCTGGGGCAGTGCTAGCTAGCTGGGGCACTGCTGCTCCAAAACAAAAGCGTTGCGATCTGTCTTTGAGACAGTACTAGGAAAAACAGCTCAAAGAATACTGTTCAGTGAAGATTTAGGTCAGTGTATTAAGCATATATTGTAAGTAAATCTCCTGTTTAGTACTTTAGTATTGTCCCTTGAAAGACAGGTGAGGTAGTTCTGGGTATATGTACTCTCACTGAAGAGTCAACAGACACAGCATCACCTGCCCTGAATCGGGGCCCAGGATGGTCTGTGGCCTGAATCAGATCACGGTGGGCTGTGTGCAGAGGGCTCTAGTCCACTTAGCCACGATCCTGGCGTTTAGGTGGCCTCCTACCTTCCCCGGCGTCCTTGGCGTGCTCTGCAACAGCTTCCTGCAGCTTCTCTGTGTAGTTCATGATTCCTTTCAGAGGTACACGTTCATCATTTTCATATGCTGTGATGTGAATTGAAGGATAATGCTAAAACAAAAGAAACAGATGTGGAGTTCATTATTTCTTCAGGATTAGGCAAAATATTTATGTCTAGTTTTTCTAAGTGCTAGACGTTTTCTTCTCATTTAATATTTCTGAGAACCACTGCATTGTAGTTTTAGAATATTTGTAGCCTGAAATAGCCTTTTTTTCATTAAAGAGAGGCATGGCCTTACATAATTTACTAATTAAGACATGATTAATTCTATTCCCAAGGAATTACATTGAAACAAACATGGAACATGAGCAGAGGTGGGTGAGTCTAAGTACTGCATATTGTCAAAAAAATCATTCTGTAGCCCCAGTGATTCCCACAGCTCAGCTCAGGTTAAGTCTCCTGCATGGATGCCTTTCCCATGACTTCAGGCTAACACAGTATGACCATCTTTTACTACCTGAGGCTTAATATTTTGATAGGGACAGTAAAGTTTTATGTAGTTTCTGTATTTTTCATCAGATGAAGGATTCCCCCATTCTTCTAATTCTTCTAACGTCAGAGGAAGTGTGGTGTCCATCATGGTGTTGAGAACATCCAAGAAAGGTGCCTGAAAACACCAAAGAAACTTACACTTTAATTAAGAAGTTGGTAAAATGAGTTTCAGAAATATACTTCAATCACACACACACAGACACAGCAGAACAACCGTGATCCCCAGTACAGTTTCAGGAGCCAAACTCCCACTGTTAACTTGGGCCTGTGGTTTCTAGCTGCCTTTAAGTACTAACGTAACAAGAAATGGTTTACCTTCTACTTTTACAACTTTTTTCAATTTGATATTTTTACCTTTTGATCATATACATGTAAGTTAAACTTATTTTATTTGAAAGGCAAAGTGAACAGAGAAAGACCTTCCATCAGCTGGCTGGCTGCCCAAAGAGCTGTCAATGGCTAGGGCGGGGCCAGGCCAAAGCCAGAAGCTTCATCTGGGTCTTCTAGCTGGGTACAGGGACCCCCGTATGTGCTGCTCGTGTTGCAGGCCGCGATTTTACCAAATAGACTACACCACCAGCTCTTTTCTCTTATAAAACACACCACTGTTTCGCACTCATAGTATGGCTATTATTTTTTTTATAAAGTCTGGGTGATGAGGTGGAGAACTTGGAGGACTTGGGCATTTTTGGTCAGATTGTGAAAAGGTGCAGCTGCTATACAAAAACATCTGGTGAATATTTAAAAAATTAAAAATACAATGTAGGAATTATTCTAACAGGGATGTTCCTTCATGAATACAAAGCAAGGCATGATCAGAGAGGAAAATAACTGGATTAAAACAGTTCTGTGGGTGGGGGGCAGCGAGTGTTCAGATGCTGTTCGGGGGGGTCACACCCCACATTAGCATCACCTAGTTACCATCTGCTTCCTGCTAACCCACCGCCTGGGGGCCAGCAATGATGGCTCCAGGACTTGGGGCCCTACCATACATGTCAGAGCCCAGAAATTCTGGATTCTTGGTTTGGGCCAGGTTGATATTGCTCTCACAGTCTTTCCAATCAAAGCAAATAAAATAATTTAAAAAATTCTAGAGCTACCATTCTGTGTTTAAAACTTCAAAGCTTTGTTAAACTCTTATGCCATGGCAAAACCGTAAAGGACTGTTGTCTTGGATTAGCCCATTGCTTCACACTTCTCTACTGCTTTCAGAATGAGAACAGTGAACTCACCTCCAAGGTTACGGCTCTCAGGAGCTCAGGATTAGAATTGCACAATGCTCCCGCAAGCACCCCTCCAGCACTGAAAGCGGTCAATGTGGTTAGGCTTGGCTGTGAAAAGCCTTGGCTATGAAGCGTCTTAATGCAAGCCTCTAAGTCAGCCAGGCCGTTGAGTTTTTTAGTTAGGCGGCCATCAGCATGCCACTGCAGGCCTAACTCGCCACCACCCCTGAAATGAAAGAGCAAAAAAGTTTCAGTGGAAAGAAAATGTTAGTCATGAAGTTCAACAGTGGCAAATACACCTGGATGTCCATTTTTATATGACCATGGAATTCAGAATTATTTTGAAGAATGAGAGAAAACAAAGAATATGCAATAGAAACTATATGTGGCCTTCAAGTCCTAAAATGTTTACAGTGCAGTTTTTTTAAATTAAGATTTATTTTTATTGTAAAGTCAGATATACAGATAGGAAGAACAACAGAGAAGAAGATCTGCCTAAAAATTTACTCCCCAAATGGCTGCAATGGCTGGAGCTGAGCCAATCCGAAGCCAGGAGCTTTTTCCTGGTCTCGCATGCAGGTAGAGCGTCACACGGCCGTGGGCCGTCCTCAACCGCTTTCCCAGGCCACAAGCAGGGAGCTGGATGGGAAGCTGGGGCGCCAAGACACGAACTGGCACCCATGAGGGTCCTGGCGTGTGCAAGGTGAGGACTTTAGCCACGAGACTACATGCTGGGCCCTACAGTGTAGTTCTGTAAGAGAAAAATTTGCCAACTCCTGATATGGACAATCGAAATTTGATTAAAGTGCCTATTTACTGTCTGTCAGGGATTATGCTAAGGGTGAACCTTAGCTAATATTCTCTACCTTGGACATCGTAACTCCTTGGCAAAAGAATATAAGGTAGGTTCTTCAGGTATTATAGAAGAAAAGGGGGAGAATCAAGATGGTGGAATAGGATAAGGACACATTTAAACAGGAGAAGTATTGGTCAGTGTGAAGAAGCAAAGAGGGCACATTCCAGGAAATAGGAAAGGACAGAACCATAGCAGACGGATACCTGGAGACTGACACAGGACAGCAGCAAGCACAGCGGTGTGGTGTTGTAGTGACTGATATTCCAGCAGCATTCAGCGAATAGTGATCTGAACTCCATCAGCAGCTGGAACTGCACCACCAACAAGGGGCTAAGGGGCATTCACTGGGAGCTCAGGAGGTGAACCCAGACAAAGAACTGCCCATCATGCTGGTCTGTTTGATTTGACCAGGAGCAGAGACAGAGCAGCAGGTCCCAGACGGGCAGTGTAGGAACAGAGTAGATTTCACAGCCCACTCCACCTCCTAGAGCCGAATCAGTCGCCGTTTTTTATATGGAAGTAAAGGCTATGGGGCAGGACTTCGCATGCACTGAGCTGGGAGTAAACTCATTTCTGGCTCAGTGAAGTGTAACAATGCAGCATCACACAGGTTCCACTCAAGACAGGGCAGGGTAGCCCTCAGACCTGAAGGCCAGCAGATCAAGAACTAGTAGTGGCACATC